AAACGGCCGATTATTATTCGCCTCGCGTTGTCATATTCCATTAGCGTTGCTGCCTGTTACAGACTCCGCTCAGCTTCGCTCGCGCTCGTGCTCGCTCTCGCTCTCGCCTACGCTCTTGCATTCGCTGTCGCTCGCTCAACCGCCGGGCGGTTAGTTCGAGGAACAATTCACAACGCGATATAGGAATCACCCTTCAACCGCGTGCTGGAGATGACATCGATACTCGACTTCCTCTCTCTCTCTCTCTCTCTCTCTCTCTCTCTCCCTCCCTCCCTCTCCCTCTCTCTCTCCTCTTCCGTTCTTTCGCAGTGTCTCTCTCGTTCTCTGTGTCACTGCTCTCTCTCCCATCCCCTCTCTCTTTCTCTCGCGCGCGTTACTGCATCCGCGTACACCCGCGTATCGACTAAACTTCGCGGCGACGCCGACGCCCGCAACGATTAGCTGCGTCGCGGTGGCGAATGTCGGGAGTTTCGTTCCGCCGCGCTGCATTTAACCCCTTGACGCCCGGATTTTCTCTTCCGCCGTTGCGTACAAGTGGATTACCAATAAATCAATCCGCGTGAGCATTTCGATCCGCGGGAAACAAATCGAGAAAAACAATTAGCGAAAACGATTGCCGCGTTTGCCGATCGCAGTGTTCCGCGACGAGCGATTGCACACAGCTTCACTGCATTATAAACCGAGGAAGCGAATTCACACTTCATTCATGCGAGAAAACGCTTAAATTTATCGATTCTTGCTATACACTTACTCGTTCTTAGACGCAATCAATTGGATAATTATCATTGAATACTATTGAAAAAAATAATAGAGGTTAATCGGACTCTCGAAATTTGAACAAGTACGAGGGTAAATCAAATATAAACGGGAACTTTTTTTTATAATTTATTGGACGAAAATAAAAATATAAAGAAAATAAATTATTTTTCTACATAGTTCCCTGCTACATTGATACATTTTTGATACATTTTTATATTACAGCAGATAGGGAGTTTGGCGATTCTGTTTTTATAAAAAGTAGTAGGTTGTATCAGCCAATTGCGCACGAATTCCTCTATACTGGCATCGTCCTCGAATCGTTGTCCTCCCAATTAGTGATGCATTTCGACACAAGAATCTCGGAATATCGTCTCGGAACTTCTCGTATCATTAAAAGAAACACTTCCGAGATTATCATATGTTATTTGTTTTTCTTGTCTCGTCTCGTCTCGACATCTTTATAACAGTTATAATTATGTAATGTGTTGCCTGGTTATATAAATATTTCAAATAAATGAACCGAGATAGTCAATATTCTCTCTCTCTCTCAAATTCGGGAATCTAATAAGCGAGAATGTCGGCCCATCGAGACGAGAAAATTGTATCTATTATTTGTTTATGTCGAGCCTAAATCTCGGTATCAGTATTTTCTTGTCTCGTCTCGCTCAAATGCATCACTATTCCCGATTTTTCTTTTAGCGGTCCAAACAAATGATAATCGCATTGGGATAAATCTTTCCGTGTGATTATCATTTATTTGGGCCGCTGAAAGAAGAATTGGGAGGACAATGTGATTCGTGGACGATGCCAGTGTAAAGGAATTTATGCGCAATTGGCTGCAGATTACAACCTACTACTTTTTATGAAAACGGGATCGTCAAACTCTCTATCCGCTGTCAAAAATGTATTGATGTAGCAGGGAACTGTGAAAAAAAATAATTTGTTTTCTTCATATTTTTATTTTCGTTCAAAATAACAAAAAAAATTCTCGTTTATATTTGATTTACTCTCATTAATATTTAACAAAGACGAGTCAGAATAAAAATGTGTGATAATTCGTGCGTTATAATTTAACAAAGTAAATTATATTTAATCCTTTTATCCTTCTTATATCATTTAATACAACGATTGCATTTAATACAACGATGCATGTCAAGGTTGCAGTGGAGTTTGTTTAGTTAATTTAGTATAAAAACTACTTGATGGTTCGAATATGGAAATTGGAAGAGACTCTGTTCGCCGCATACTAGAATTTCGTGCGGACACTGCATACATAATTGATTGTTTGAATTTTGGATATTGCTGATGATGGTTTGGATTGAGCCGAAATGTCTGATTGTCTTGTTAAATGATGTAAGAAGAATTTAAATACAATTTACTTTATTAAATTATAACACACGAATTGCTGCGCAGGATTTTTATTCTCATTTGCCTTTATTGAAAATTTACCTTTGAAAAAACTCACAAACAGATATAAACTTCGAAAATACTGTGTGAAAATATCATGAATTGCCGTATCCTGATAAAATTATTAAAAAATACGCGAAGTGATTATTGTATCACATCTGTGTTTATGAATTTTTATTGGTCTAGATTTCATTTATTAGAGCATTCTCTACGTGTAAATGATCATTTATCGTTTTATTTTGTTTTTATTTCAAGCCAAATTTATAGTTTTTAAAGACAATAAATGAGGATGCTTTATAAAATAAATTTCAGTGTTTGCGTAAAACCGAAGATCGACTTTGCTTTAGCTTCTCAAGCAGTCTTACGCAGCATCTTCAATGGCTCCGTGAAATACTCTCACCTCCTCTTTCTCTAATAAATCAGACCCTCCTTCTCCATCTCCTCAAAGTGCAACAAACATCTACCAAATCATCAATTTTCGGACGGCCTCATGAAATGCTCGCGGACCGACGTGTAAACAATTTGCGCAAGTAGCCGCGATAATGGAGGAGCAGAAGGATAAGGGGGATGAGGATAAGGTACAGGGCGGTGGCGCTGAGAGAGGAGGTGTTTGGTTAGCTCACACAAAGGACGAAGCGCACCGCTGCGCACACAACGGAATCAGCCCGCTACTCTAACAAGGAACATCCACAAACTACCCCTCTGCGAGGGGCTGGAATGGCGAAGGGATGGTGGTAGGGACTTGCTACAGGACCTCAACGGTTTGCGGAACGTCCGGAAGTTAGCGACACGGATACGAGCAAACGTCTTGCAGGAGCGGGCGTGATGGAAAATGTTTTCAGAATGAAGTGATTTCACTGAAAAAAAATTTGCAGATTTTAAATAAATATTTACTCTAGTACTACTAACGAAATATTTATTTATAGTAAATAAATATTTATTCGAAATAAAACAGTTGTGTTTAAATCGAATAAATATATATTTACATTTAGTAAATATTTCGTTAGTACTATTAGAGTAAATATTTATTTAAAATTTGCAAATTTTTTTTCTGTGTTGTAACGAGGAAGGATGTGTTCATGAATTTATGATTATGTTAAAATTTTTATCTAAAATTATGTTAAAATTCTATTATGATAAAATCTAAAAAGAAATTGCGAATTTCAATTTCAATGAAATTCGAAAGAAATGTATTAATTACGCGCTTATATTTTAGTTCACTTTAATATTTTAATTTCTAGTTAATTTAATGGATAATAAAAAATTAATGATCAAGCATGTATAATCCTCTTTCTTTTTTATATACCCCTCTTTACTCAATATTGATTTATTTGAACAATCTCGCTATTTTCCCGTTGTCTATTCAATTTTCACTTTTCTACTTTTACTATCTCATCACAAGAATAGAACAACTTCCTCGAATTGGCGAGAGCTGTTTCTTCTTTTTATATTAGTTTTTCTTCACTCTATCGCTTTTTCCGCTTTCCTATCTTTCTTCTTTTTTTCAACGTTTTTTCCTTACCTCCCCTCTTGATATTTCCTTCCTTATCGGTTCTGGCCTCGGTTCTGCGGTTCCATCTTCTTGCCTCCGGCAGGTATCACTATCCCCGTTTTCTGGCATATGCTATTTCTTCCTCTCTTGATATCTCTAAACAACCTCGATTTCAGAAGTGTACAGCATATACGTGCGCTTCCTTGACGTTTATTATGCGATCGTCCATAAATCGGTCGTAACTTGTTTTAATTCCTTATCTTTCTTTTACGAGAACATAATTGCGTTAGTCACAGCATGATTGCTTGCAGTTCTTAATGACAGTTCGTGATTTATGATTTGCGTATCTGTCATGCTGTTGACACCCGGAAAATTATCACTTACGTACGCGATCGTAAGCTGCTACAGCGCAGAACAACGCGCGGATCAATATCGTTGCACACCTGTTGCACGACTTTTGAATCACTCTGTACGATGAATACGGCGGCCGTCTCAGTTACCATCGCGACGAAAACAAGAAGAATGCGAAAATCCTTGTCGCTTGATCGTCCGCCGCGCGACGTCGCAGCGCATTCATTATCAATCTCGCTACGGGCCAGTTCAAAGGCAGCGAAATTAATAACTGTTTGCGGAAACGCTGATCGAAAACTTCATGCTTCGCCATAGCCATCTTCGTTTTATTAATTCGCGTAAGCCACAAACGGCCTGCGGAGCGGTGCAGCGCAGCGATGAGAATGCACTTTATGCTTATATCGTAGCACAAGTCGTGCATGTCTGCGATACTCGCAATCGCATTTATTATTATAAAACTTGTTTATTTTGCAAGCGTAAACGTCGATATGTCTGGATGAAGTATGAACTTTTAACACAATGTTGTTAGAAACCGCGCGACAAGGTTTCATTTTTAAAGTTTTATCTATTTACTATGTTTTCCATATAGTCCATATATAAAATCAATATTTGCTTCATACTTTATCCATCAAATTTAACACAAACTAAAATAGACTTGAATTTCATATTAATTAGCCATTAAAATATTATATTAACAGATCTCAGTAATTATAATTCAGTATCTAATGAAGAATATATCATTATATAATTCGTTAAATACAATTAAAAAAGAATTAAGTAATATAGAGCTGAGTAGAGGGCGAAAGATAGATTATATATATTTAATTCATTAACTTAATATTTTATCTAATAGCCTTTAAATTCCTTACTGCCTTATATATTAATTAATTGCACAATTAATTAATCGTGACTTTTTTTCTATTTTACTTCTGTAATTTTTTCATAATCAAGTGTAATGTTTTCACTAATCGAGAAATCGTTGTGTTTTCAGATGTGAATATGGTAGCCGAACCAAAGCCTCACCAAACTGGACGTAAGCGACAGAACGTCTCCAAAACTGGCAACGACTGGTAAGTTACAAGTTTTTACATTTTTATATAAATATTTCTTCTATAAAATAATGAAACAAAAAACCTCGTGTCCCTTTATCTATTACGTATGTATCTGTTGCATATTAAAAGATCTTTATATATCCTTACATATGTTGCCTGAAAATTGCATTTCTGTGAGAAATTGAGCTTTTCTAAGCACTGATACACCATAAATTCATTATGTAGGTATATACATGACGTTGTATGTAAGGCCTGGCACTACGAAGCTATCTCACGTATTTGTACGAATTTGCAGACAATCTACTCAAAGTAGATCACGGTGTTCTTTGGCACGTAGTTGCACCATCTTATCTTATCTACTCGATTTTTCCCAGCGCAGCGCGTATAAATCTTCCAGTGAGAGGAGTTTCATTCAAAGGACCGCTTTATCCCAGCCTTAAGGTGCCGACGAACCCTAAACTCGATGTATAAACCCGCAAGCGCCGAGAACGTATTTTACGCGCGGAACGTGACCGTGAATTCACGAGCGCATGTTTGCGAAAGTTAACTTGCGCGAGATACATACACGGAATAAAAAGAAACCCGTAATTGCATCGTATTGCGCACGTAGAGGTTCCTTATGCTTTGATGGGCAATTTTAAGAGTCACGTGTTGCGATTCCATATGATAATATAACAGTAAACTAATATGAATCATCAAGGAAAACTTAAAACTATACAGTGTTTTATGGGGGACCATATACAAAAATATAGGATGTTTAGACACGAATTATTTAAAAAAGAGATATTTTTTAATGTACCGAAGAAATTACTAAATATAGATTTCTAGTAGTACATATTAAATTAAAGAAAATTAGCTCTGATGTATGCAATATTGGAAATTTCTATCTCTTTTGAGACGATAATCAATTTTATATTAAAACATTAATAACATCATTACAAAACGTATTTTATTTCACGTTGATTAAGAATTTGATTGAGGCTATATTTTCAGTAATCTGGTACAATACTCAACACGGAAAGTATTTCACCGCGAGAAAAAAAGGACTGGCGGAGACATTCTCTAGCAGCTGATGCATTATCCACGACAGATAGTGTCATGGCAAACGTCGATACCTTTTCACGAACTAAGTCGCGTATCTTCTCTTTTCTCCTTTTGCCATCTCTCACCATCTCTTTTTTCACTTTTTTCCTATTTCGATTGGAGCAGAGAAAAAGAAGTCGGTATTTTTCGAGTGCGCCAATTTAATTGATGCCAATTTTCGTTCAAATATTATAGTTTTAAAGTTTTAAGATGATTTTGATACACAATACAAATTTTGATATAACTACAAGTGAAGAGCGGACTTTCAAAATGCATTTTATCCAAAATATCATTTTTTTTAGTTAGAGTATTCAATAATAAAAGATACATATTATAAGCTATTTTTGAATGTTCAGAAAGTATTTCTTCAGCAAATTTATGTAGATATCGAAAAAATCTAGACACTTGATGTGTGTTATGTTTTTTAATTAGAGACAAACAAAATGCATTTGTTTAACAGTATTATTAGAAATTGTTTAACAATTTTGTTTAACATTTTACATCATATTGATCGGCAAATTGTTATTTTCTGTAAGGTGCGTGGTTTCCTTGTGATTTTCTTTCTCATTTTCTGAAAATTATAAATTTTAGACAAAACACATTTTGAAAGTCTGCTCCTCAAATCTGCTCGAAAATCTTAAACATAATTAAACTTAACTTCATAGCTAAAATTTAATTGTCGTCGCTTTTCATTAACTAAAAAATTGATCTTAAAATAAATTATCTTGAAGAAATAATATTTAATTCACGCTAAAGTTTATTTTAACTTTTTAAAGACTGCATTGATTGAAGAGCGAGAAATAATTAACATTAGATATAATTCACATTAAATTTATAAATAATAAAATATTCAATCATATTGAAATTAATTTCCAAGCAAACTTTGGATATAACAAACTAAACATGAAACAGTTTCACAGATTAGTTAAACTTTGTTTTGTACAGTAAACGCTACGTAAGCATACATTTACGTAGAACAAGGGTTAGCAGTCTAAACATCAAAATGATCCCATAGATATTGCTGAAATTAAAATTAATGGAGATATTGTTTTATAACATTATTATTTTTAAATATAATTTTTATATTTATCGAAAAAAGATATAATTTCAGAATAAATATAATACGTAATTACTTTATTTGTAAATTGTTAAAAAATAAGTAAAAATTTTTTGTAAATCTTTGAGATAAATAGAAGAATATTGCGTATATACAAACTGAAATTGAAGACACGCTCGTAAGAAAGATCGAGTCATCAAAGCTCAAGAAATTGAGTGGAATGCTGTCATGAATTAACCATTTCACGTATGTTATATATATGTAGCGAAATGGTTTAACATCAAGATAGCTTCTTTTGAAGAAATACGGAACCTGAGAGATGTTATGTTCTATCAAGTCAGACTAGCAACCTTTGATAAAGTGCAAAAAATGGGTCAAACCCGTTAATGCATACTATATTGACTATATGTATTATGGTATACATGAGGTTTTTATTGGACATATGTCTGCAAACACGGAAAAAATTTTATAAAAGTGTAGCGGAACAGCACTAGAATCGCTCATGTCGAACATGTATATTGGACATACATCTAAGATAAACTCTTGTTCGCGCGATCGAATCAAATTTTGGAACGTAAAGTCTCGCGGAATACGATAGAAAAACACGACATCTCGAGAACGCCGAGTAATATCTGCGCGTTGGATTTTTCAGATCCTTCGCCTGTCGCCCTTTTAATGCAGCCGTCAATCTCTCGCGTCCTCATCCTGACCAGAATTCCGACCTGTGCGAGGTCTTCCCACCGAATATCATGCGTCAAAAGCCACTTTTAATGTAAAAAAACCGGAGACTTAGAGAATGCGGGATGCAGAATGCACATAATACTGAAATTCATTCTGTTTTGCTTCACTTATTATTTTTATCGTGCACGATATATATATCTCCCAACTTGTCTTCAAAAACACCATAAATTCAAAAATGATTTTTTTAAATGTGTGTATTGCAATTTCGGTTCAGTTTAAATTTCCGTTAAAACGCAATATGTAAAATTGCAAAAATAATCACAGTGCTTTTGTAAATGAAAATTCAGGCATTTTGTGCTACACATTAATCATGTTTGAGATTTTTAAATTTTTCTTTTAGTTCAAAGGAGATACAATGCATTGAAACCTTTTTTAAATAAATAACGTAGCTCATAGAATATTTATACAAACTGCTATTAAGCATTGCATACCTTTCCGTTTATAAATATAACCAACGAATGCTCATCCGTGCGCTGGTCTTTTCTGCAAAATCTGATTACACATCTTGTTTTGTAAATTTTTCATTACCAACATGAAATATTCTAACAATAAAGTCTCAACTCTCTGTGAATTTACATTCGATATATACAACTGTTTCAGTTTTGTGAAACATGCTTATTACACAGACATATATGTTGATCGATTTTTATAATAATGTTAGGATAAAATAGGGCGAATTGTAAATAGACAGTTTTATGCGGAAATGAGAGGCTGGCTCACAAAAGTAGAAAATATCAATTACACATACATGTAAATCGGCAAGCTGAACCCCTATATTAAAAGGGTGATTGAAATAATATTTAAAATTGCATGCCATTCAGAGACGAAAATGGCAATTCAGTTTCAACAAACAGATCATTTAGCTCTACATAAAAACCAATCAAGCTTCGCGTTCGTGTCCATTTATTAGACTATTATTTCGATATATTTTTAACTTGACAAATGTTTGCATTTAAAAAAATTTTTACATCTACACCTACTGTGTTTGTTATTTGGTATATTGCATTAAAATATCTCGGAAAACTCGAAAACGATATTTATTTCAATTTTAAAACGCTTATTCGATTAAAACGGATCTGATGCCTAATAATATTTTTTGTATGAATTTCACAATTCCTAGTTCAAGCAATCGACGCGCAATTTGTCCAAGATCCGCTTTAACAGAATAGGCGTTTTTATTTGTGTTTAAGGAAATGTTAATATTTTGAAGCGAAACTCATATTCTTCATATTTTGAAAGATAATAATAATAACCGCCGCACCGTATGTCTTTCGATTTAACTTTTCAACTTAATTCATTCGAAAATATTACTCGGTGAGTTAATTCATTTTCTGTGTAAGATTCATCCTCTACGTAATATTTTATGAGCTAAAGCATGTATATCGCTCGGTGTTGATAACGTCACCGTCTTGTCACCCATTTATTTCTATTTATCAAACCGATTTAATTATGAATTCACTAGAGCCCGTTTATTTAAACGGAGACGCGTGTGCGAATAAACGCACGTGTGTAACACCGATGTCGATAATCCGCTGGGTCGGCAAAGCCGCGAAAAATATTCCACCGGCGTTTCCGGGATTCGCGCAGGGCATTCGGGACAATTTCAGGATATCCGCGGGATTCCCAGCTATCCCTGCGCCTTCCCGGGGATCCCGGCGTACGTGTTACGGAAGCAAACAGGTCGCTTAACAAGCCGGAAGAACAATAAAAATGCGTCACCTCATTAACCGCTCCCAATTAGTCGCGGAGTAGCGTCGCGCAGCGCTTAATGCAACGTGTAGGTACCGGGTGTCCTACAGAGTTGAGATGACATTATAAACATAGATTGTGAACCTTCTTTTATTTTTTCCCTGTTATTATATTATCATAGGATTAATAATCTAATTCCCGCAGCGCATATAACTTTGTAAATTCTTCTTTTAAATAATTAACATAAAAGCTCTGTGTACTTAGAGGCGATATTGTTTCTCTTTGATTTGCGTCATATATAAAATATTATGCGCGTGTTGAGATTAGAATTACAGATTACACGTCGTCGCCAAAATTATATCCATCTTTTTATTTTCCTTTTAAGGTAATATAAATAACAACAATTTAATAATTTTTTTTATATGTTAAAAAAAGAAATGAAATGTAG